ACACACACACACACACACACACACACACACACACACACACACACACCATACTCTGATCCAAAAAGTTGAATATATCGATACTTCCGGGCTTTTGGTCCAAGCTCATCCATTTCTTTCATCTTGTCTCTGCATCTCTTTATCTTTCCTTTTGGTGAAGATCTCCATTGATAGGGCCCTCATTACTACCTGAGACAGCCTACTCCTTTGTAGGCTAAAGCTTCTCTTCCTCTTTCTTGTTGCTTTCTTCTGGGCAGGAACATCATCTTGTGCATCCCTACTTGTCTTCACACCTTTCCCCATGTGTGCCTTGGGATCACCTTCTGCCAAAGCTCTCTTCCAAATGGCTCCCTATCACTTACTCCCTTAAACAAGTTTTCCTCTCACATCTCTCAGCCTCCCCTGACAATGATGGCCATTTGAAAAGGCACCAGGAAAAAACCAAAAACACGTTGTAAACACTCCAGGGGGAATCCAAGAAAGCTGAAACCGAGAGTTGAAAATTTGATGGCCCCAGACAAGACTTCTCACTTCCTTTTCTTCTGGCCCCATGCTGTCTTCAGAGACTGCTTCGCTCCACTGCATAGCCCCCGGTGCATGGCTGATGTTCAGTAGAAGTTCTATGACAATATTCAGGTCTCTCCAAAGGTCAGATTGAAATCACACTGAGGAAACTTTCACCAAGGAAGTGCTAATATCCCCCTTGACTAGAGCAGTCAAGAAACAAGCTGGGACAAAACTTCCCTTCCCAGTGCCCAGTGAGTCATGAGACACCTTTTACCAAGTCAGTTGGATGCTGCATGCTTAATGGAATTCTGAAATTTCAAAGCTGAAAGGGACTTCTGAGGTCATCTAATCCAACTGCACCTGAACAAGAAGCCTCACCTGCATAACCTCCAGTGACGGAGAACTCACCACTTCCTAAAGTAGCCTATTTCACATGTTAACAGCTGTGATAGTTGGTAGTTTTGATTTTTTCTTTAAAAAAATTAATTTCAATGGGCCACTTCCATCCCTTTCCATCTCCTCCACTCTTCTTCAGATGTCAGGTTCATGATCTAGTGAGTTTGACCTCATCCACTATGGGTTGCAGTTAGACCAAGTGAACTCTGGACCTACTGGACAAATTCCATGTGTGTGGACTAAGAAGAGTATGGAGTTAGTTTGAAAGTGATACTGGAGAGAACTTGACTTTCACGGTTGACCAGCAAGGCCAAACATGGCTCAGCTTGTTGGGATGAGGATATTCTAAGCTACTCCTTCTTGTAGAATGCACATGTCCCTATGGACAGGAACCCATTGTTCTCACTCCTTCTGGACCTCCAAAATTTATTTATATAAGTTTTCCCACCTTCCATCAACATTATATTTTGGACAGACAACTCCCTGGCCTAAAGACCAGGGAAGAAGAGGGAGTCACTCATTTAGCAAACTATAAAGCATGGGAGTAGTGGGAATTTGGTCTTAATCTGAGATGGAGAGATAGGTCCTAATGAGGTCCTTTGCCTCTTCCCCTGACTCTGAGCCTCCATTTCTCCCTTCCTGATGCTCTGGAATATGTGATCAGGGTCTCTGTTACTCTGGTTACCCAGAGAAGGAAATCTATAGGGTGGGCTCTTGCAAATGTCCAACCAAAAAAATCTAAAATTTCCTCACCTGGTTCCATTCATCTTTCCTCTCCTTTTTTCTTTTTAATTAATTCCCCATAAGTTTTCCATGAGACATTTACTAGTTTTTCCCTTTCCTTCACCCCAAAGGCAGTGGCAATCTGAGCAGGACATTGAGCTGGTGAGAACTGTGAAGGAGACCCGGACGTCCTGCTTACAGTCTTCAGTTAGGCAACACTGCATCAAGCAGGAAGGAGGGTCAGAGGTGCCACAGCAGTAGGGGCAGGGATAGGGTCCACGGGGAAGGAAAGGCTCACCTCTGGTCAAATTGCGCTGGATTGTTTCCTGGGACATGCTGTGTAGACGTTTCATGTAATCCTCACTGTACCAGACTCGTAACCGCTCCCCAGGTCGGATATCACGGCACACTCGGAAGTATATCTTCTCACTGTGCTGGAAGGCCATCAAATTCTGCTCTCTCTCCTCTCGTGAGATGATCACATATCTGGGCAACAAGGGGAAAAATGACATGAGCTCAAGTAACAGGTCCTTGACACATCCCCCCATGTGCAAACACATACACAGATGTACTCACATAAAAGCAAAGACAAAGAACACTAGAATAGGGGGTAGAGGGCATGGGTTCAAAGCCCAGGGCTGCTTCTGTGACTTTGAGTAAGTCACTTAGGGTTAGGATTACCTAAACCTAGGTAACTTTAGGTAATTCCCGCTTACCCTGAATCTCAATGTAATCATCTGTAAAATGAGAGGGTTGGACTAGATTATCTGGCTGGTCCCTTCTAGAGCTCCATGAGCGCCAGACCCCTATCACCAAGTATCCAATGTATAATTCCAATTATTTTTCTTGTGGACATCTCAACCTCAACAGGGTCAAAATGGAACTCATTGTCTTGCATGAAAAACCCACTCCCCTCCAAAATGCCCCTTTTCTGTTGAGAGAATCATCATCCTTCTGGTCATCTAGGTTGACTTCCCTCAACTCCACTACCAATATCTAGTCACTTATCAAATCTGGTCAATTCCATCCCATCATCTCTCATACCCATTGCCTTTTCTACACTTAAAGGCCATTCCTCTAGGTCAGGCCTTCATCACCCCTTGCCTCAACTATTTTAATGGCTTCATAATTGGATTCCTGATTTCTGGTCTATGAGCCTTCAATCCGTCCTCCACACCATTGTCAAAATAGTCTTCTAAAAGCCGTCTCCCCATGGAATTCCTCTGCTCATGAAGCTTTGGTGGCTTTCTATTGCCTTTAGGACAAAATACAAATTTCTCAGCTTGGCATTTAAAGCTCCAACCTCCCTTCCCAGGGTCATTGCATGTTGCAGTTCTCCCCACTGTGGACAAATTGGAATTCTGGGTATCTCATCTCCCACCTCTAGGCATTTGCACAGGCTGTCCCCCATGCCTGAAATGTACTTCCTCCTCTTCTCTGTCTCTTGGGATCCCTAGTCCCCTTGAAGACTAAGTTCACATGTCATCTATGGAAGGGCCTTCCTGGTCCCTTTAGTTATCTGGACTCTCTCTTTCCTCCTCAACTAATCAGGTATATACTTATCTGTTTCTATATTGTGTCCACCCAGTGGAAGTCAGCTGACTGACAGGAGGGGCTAGTTTTGCTCATTTTCTTTATTCTCAAACCTGGCACATAGTAGGTACTTGATAAATGCTTGTTGGTTTGCAATGGATTGTAAGATGGGGATAATAATAACAGCCTTCTTCTGCAAGGCAATATGGCATATTGACAAGAATGATGGCTTATGGTCAGATGGTCTGGGTTCAGATCCTGACTCTGCCATCTACTTTCTATATCCTCGGGCAAGTCATTTCTTTCTCTGGGTCTCTATTTCCTCCCCCACTAAAAGGATGGGGTTGCTAGATGACCTCTGAGCTTCCTTTCAGTTCTAGATTGAGGATCCTGCAATCTCACAGGGGGTTGGGGACGGGTGAGCCCTACAAAAAGCATGAAATGCTATTTCAACAATGAGGGCTCTTTTTTTTTTTTTTTACAGATCAGGAAACTGAGGCTCAGAGAAATTAAGTGACTTGGCCAACTCCACATAGGCAGTAAGCATCAGTGATAAGACTTGAACCTGGATCCTTTCAATCCAGAGCCAATGAGCTTTCCCTTACTAAGAGGGTTTGCCTTACAAGCCTGCAAGTAGCTTATGATTTGAAGAGTGCCTGGCCAAGACCTCAGCCCCCCAATTTTTCTTCTACTGCCTGTCACCCTGCCTGAAATCCTACTGTTTGAGCTCCATCCTTTTGAGTCCTGGGAAAATCCAACTGCCCTCATATGGGTGAAAAATATCTCGAAAAGCTGTTCTTTTATAATCTCAAGAAAATACAAATGGTCTTGGGACAGAGGATAAGCTGCAAGGAATATTGCCTTGAAGCAGTGGGAAGGATATAGATTGTGGTCAAAGGTCCTGGGTTCAAGTCCTGGCTCTACCTCTTCTTCCCAGGGTATTCTTGGGCCATTCATTTCCCTTATATGGCTCTCAGTTTCCCTCCCCATAAAATGAGTGGGTTATATTAGATGGCCTCTGAGATCCCTTCCAATTCAAGATCTTGGATTCAGGTCAGGGGACCTAGGGTCTGAATCCCATCTCCACCCCTGACTTCTTGGGTGACTGTGGGCACCCCAATTTCCATCTCTTAGCCTTAATTTCATAATCTGTATATCGAAGGGCTTGGACTAGATGCATTAAATCTTATGATCTGTGAGACATGGGGAGCCAACAGGTTGTGCAAGTACTCTGCCTATTCAATCCGACAACCAAGGCTTATTATCTGGCCCCCAAGTTCTCACAGCCAGAATTCGTTCCTGCACTCAACTTTAATGAGGAAGAAAGAAATAGGAAGTAAATGGGTTCTTATTTTAAAAACAAGTCCTAGAGTGAGTCAAAGGATCTAGGAAAGATTGATGATGAAAACTGATTTCCAGGACACAGATTCTGGAGCTCAACAGGATTCTGAGTGTACCCCTGGAATTCTACAAGAAAGAGTATTTTCCAGTCAGGAACATTTTAGTCCCCTGCCCTCCTTAATATTCTGCCTTGATGCCTCATTCATTGTGGCACAGAGGTGACCCTCAGTCTCTGAAGGTTGTGCCAGCAACTGCTGGCAAGTCACTTAACCTCTGTTGCCTCAGTTTCCCCAAGTGTAAAACAGGGATAATAATAGCACCTACCTTGCAGGGTTGTTGTGAAGATCAAATGAGATAATATTTGTAAAGCAGCTTAGCACAGTGCCTGGCACATAGTAGGCACTTTTGTTGTTGTTGTTCACTCGATTTAGTTGTGGGTTTTCTTGCCAGAGATACTGGAGTGGTTTGCCATTTCCTTCTCCATTTTACAGATGAGGAAACTGAGGAGAACAGGGTTAAGTGACTTGCCCAGGGTCACACAGCTAATAAGTATCTCAGGTGAGATATGAACTTGTGTCTTCCTAACTCCAGGCATGGTGCTCTATCCACTGTGCCACCTAGCTGCCTATAGTAGACACCGTATAAATGCTTACTCCTGCCCTTTCTCCCTTCTCTTCCCTACCCCACTGACAGTAAAACCTTGAGAATGTTCCATATAATGCCTTGTGTTTCTACGGTCCAAAGAGCCCTCTCAATAAAGGTGGAAAGAAAGGCTCATCACCACAGTTGGTCACCAGGGGACAATTTTCTAGTCCAGTGTCTGGCACATAGTGGAACTTAAAGATGATTTGTCGATTATTTGAGTGATTTTTAGCCACAGCAAACACCATCTACATAGATCTCGGAGGGGCGTCTATGACCTGTGTCTGTGGAGCAGTTAACTATAGTAATGAAATCATGGGACTTTCAAAGTCCTGGAGCATCATTTTAGTCAAATTAATGCTGGTATAGAATGTCCTAAAAGCCTTGATACTGGTTTAAGATTTTTTTTTTTGGCTTAAAACTGAACCAAGACTTTTGGGACACCCTATATTTAAATAGTGCTTTAAGGTGTGGAAAGCACTTTGTGTACATCATCTCATATCTTTCAAAATGTCTTTTGATGTCTATATTTTGAGTCTCTGAACATTAGTCCTCCAGGCATAGCATATATAAGTCTCAATCCACCCAGATCATCCGAACCTTTTTGCCTCACTATTCCAGACAACTGGGCATCTTCTCTCCACTTAGTGAACCTTTAAAAAAAATTAAAGCATCTGATCAAAAATTTGGGGCTGGAAGGGACCTCAAGCTAGCCATCTAGTCTAATCACCTCATTTCATCGTGGAGAAAACTGAATCCTAGGGAAGGGAAGTGTTGGCCAACATAACTCAGATGGTACCAGTCAGTCAGGATTTTAATATAAGACCTCTGACTCCCAAGAAGGTTCTCTTTCTACTGTTCCAAGCTGTTTCCAAACAGCATTGGTTTTCTCTTACAGAAATGGTGAGTTTGAAGATACGAAGGAGTTTAGATGTGCTCCCAGGAGCCCAGGTCTTCCTCCCATGTGATAAATATCTCCATAACAAATCCCAGATGACTTCAGTGCCCTGTTCTGCATCTGCCCTGCCCTGTGGAAAGCACATAGAATGCAACAATCTTTCCTGATTGTTCTGGGCAAGTGAATATCTGCAAGGTGGCTTGATGGAGCCCCTAGGCCATCTTATGTCATGTGCCATGGTGGAAGAAGCCATATTACATCCTTGGAAGGCACAGTACATGATGGGGATTGGGGGGAGGGAAAGAGCTGGCAAAAACCCTTAAAAAAAAATAAAACATCCGGATGACTGCCAATAGTTGAAACCTCAGTAGCTATTTCTGTCTCATTTGAAGTTAGGCAAATCAATAAAATACCAGAGTCCTAGACTAGATGTTTCAAGGTAGTCTCAAGGTTTTCCCCTCAACACTGCTGACTCTGATGTGGAGCAGCTCCAAGCAACATTCCTCAGCCTAATGCATTATCTGCTGGTTTTTCTCTAAACAGAGCAGGTTTTCCAGCCAGGTCCAGAAATGCCTCAGATCTAACTTAAAAAAAGAAACTTCTGTAGATCCAGTTTGCTGAAAGGTATTAGTAAGGAGTGCTTGGGGGAAACCTCAGGGGTGAATTTTTCTGATGTAATAAAACTCCTAAGGCAGTGGACTGAGGAGTGGGAATGGGGGCAAGGATGGGCAGGGGTTGGGGGGGAGGAAAGAAAGTAGGTCTTTCAAGCATATCAAGGAAAGATTCTGAATCTCCTTCCTGACCAGTAATAAGAGGTATATTTTTTAATACATTCTCCCTTCCCCCACCCATGTAAACCAAAAGGATTGGTGCTAAAATTTGCATCTCTTGCATTTGGGACAATATATATAGTAAGTGCTTAATAAATTTGTGTTGTCTAAGACTAAAAATATGTCAACTGCTTTATGTGTATGTCACCTCCCCAAAGGCACCATGAGCTGTCTGAGGGTAGGGACTGTATCTTATGTTTCTCTTTATCTATCACAAGGTCTAGTGAAAGGCTAGACACATTTTTCATTCATTCATTTGTTCATTCATTCATTCATCTTATGCTTCTCTATACCACCAATAAGGCGGGCGCCAGGCTGGGCTCATTTATTCATTTTATTATTTTCTACATTCACATCATGGCCTATTGGAAAAGTAGGTTCAATTTTTATCCATCCACCCACCCACCCATCCATCTATCCATCCATCCATCCATCCACCCACCCACCCATCCATCCATCCATCCATCCAATCATCCATCTATCTTACGCTTCTCTGTATCCTGAACAATATCAAGAACAAGGTTGGGCACATTCATTCATTCATATATTTCTCAAGTGTCTACTGTGTGGGGTGCATAGCTAACAGAGTTGGTAAAGGTACAAAGAGAATTAGACCCAGTCCTTGACTCAAGGAGCTTACAATCTATTACAGGGGATCAGGCACAGGCAGATGAAAATAATAAAAATTAGAATATGGTAAGTATATGAGAGGAGTACAAAGTACTATGAGATCAGATCAGGAAGAACTCATTTCCCATTAGAAGTAGTCTTCTCTGAGGAGGTAGCATGGGCTTTGCAGGATAGGTTGGATATCAATAGTTATGATGGGTCGGATATCAATAGTTACGATGGGAAGGGGGACAGTGCTCCAAAGACAGAGTGGTATTTGAGGTATTCAGAAAGCAGAAAGGGCTCTTCTGCCTACTGGCTTCTTTGCAATCATCTATACTAGCTCCTCAAGGGCCCAAGAACACACATGGTAAATTGGGTGAGAGGTGGAAGGGGGTGGAGGAGGATAGGAAGTGAACGCACACCAAAGAAAGAACTTGAAGGCTAGGTATGTTAGAAGTGTTAGATATTTCTTTTTATTACCATTTTAACAAAAATACTTTCAAGGGAAATTTTTTTTGGGGGGGGGCAGGGTTGAAGCATAGCCATGGGTTATGGAATAAGGGATTTTCAGCTCAGGTAGCAATGAAATGCTACTCTAAGATATCAGCGTGGAGAAAGAAGTTTGAGGGAAGGCCCTGGGGCACTCAATGTCTCCTCCCCTACCTCAAACCTGAGGACATGGGGTTTAGTTTGCCATGATGAGTCCAGGAGAGACTCACTTTCCTGGTCTAGGTGGTCGAGGTTTCAGTCCTGACTCAGGGGGCTCTTATTTGGGCCAGCCTTTGGAACAGGAGGCCAAAGAGAAAGCACAGTGAGGCTCACTGGGCTGAACTCCCTGCAAACTCCCTCCCTGACACCATGAATGCAGCTTTCGTGCTATAGGCCAAACACCAAAATGAAATCTAGAAAAAACTATAGATGTGTGTATTTGTACCCTTACACATGTTATCTTATCTACAAGAGAGCTCTGGACAACCAGAGCAACTGAAGGGATCCCAATGCCACTAGAACGCCAGGAAGAAGGGAAGAGAATTATCCATCTGAAGTGCTGTCTTGTGACCCACTCCTCATCCATTCAGACCTCACCTCTGTCCCAGGACAGAGGAGGGGAAGAGAGACTGACTATTCTCCTGGGAAGTCTGCTTCCTCAGTGTCAAAACCAAGGGATGAGGGTCAAGAAAAGCTACAGGATAGGAGACGCTGGGACAAAGGCCAGGCTCCCTCATCAATAGAGGCAGATATATTCTCCTCCTCTTTTGCCACCAAAGATAGAGCTCCTGGCTGGTGGAAAAGAAAGAAGAGAGGTGTGAAGACAGAAAGACCCAGATATACCCACCTATTGGCTCCTTGATCTTGGGCAAGTCACTTAAAACTTCCCTGGGCCTCATTTTTCCCATCCTGCAAAATGTGACTCAGACTCTCTCCCCTGCCTCCCAGTCTCACAGGGCTGTTCGGAGGATCCAGCGAGAGTACATTTTGAGTGAGCTTTATAAAATACAGTGCCTTAGCTGTAGGAGGTAGGACTATTCTTCAAGGGAATTCCTTTCCATCTCATCCTGTTCTTCACAGACACCCCACCCTGCCCCACAAAAGGCAAAAACTCAAAACTAAGCTCACGTAATGGCTCACACAAAAGCATTCAAGCCAGAGCTGAGTCCAAGGGCCCAAGCAGGGGCACCATCAAGCAGAGAGCATAGCCAGTTTGTCTGAACGTGCTGAGTTCCAAGCACCACCCTCTCCCCATCTTTCATCAGCAGAAATCAAGCCTAGGGGCCTGTAGTCAAGAGAGCTGAGCCACCTGCCTGGACCACACAGTCAATCACCATTCTGGTCTCTTTAGAGTGGGAAAATCAAATTTCCCACCCAGACCCCCCCAACTTAGGTTGGCTGCCCAATGGGACGAAGACCTCAGGGGGTGACTCACTGAAGCTGGTGAGCACCCGCTGGTTCCTGCCAGACCTCCAATTTTGGCAGGACATAAAGAGGAGAAGGTGATGGCTTGTCCCTAGACATATCTAAGGAGCGAGCCTGAGACTTTCCTGATGATGTGCCTGAACACTATGAACTGAGACGAGGAAGCCCTTCTTTGTAATGAAGGCCCCCATGCTCAGGGACAGCTAACCCCTTTCTGTATGTTTTTCTTTCCAGCCCAGCTTGGTTTGGTTAGAAATGGTGTTTTCGCTTCCGAGATCGAGTAGTCCTTGAGGGTGGGGTTGGCTCCAGGCTGGGCTCTGCTCGGTGGGGCTCAGGCTGGAGTGGTGTGTCTGTGGCAGGCGCCAGGCTGGGCACCTGCTGGAGTGCCCGGACTCCATCTCGGATCTCGCTTAGCATCTGGCACATCTGGCTGACCCACCCAGTCAGTTCGGCCATAGCCTGGCCTATGGTGTGCATACTGTCTGCCATGCCCCGGTGGACGGTCACCAGCTCCTGGCAAAACCGTTGGAAGGGCTCGGACTCCTGGGCATGAGAATGGAAGTGATGCTGGTCAAAGCCTGAGAATGGGGGGCTCTGGGAATGGGAATGCGGGGGAGCCTGGGATGATGATGGTGGCATGTCCTCTGGCTTGGTTTCCACTGTCTCTGACTGGTTGGAAGAGGATAAAGAATGGAAGAGGGCTGGCCTGGCCAGGCGGGCAACTTCTTCTTGATCTTGGTGCAGTGATGTCAGAGGGGGCTGATGTGAGGGGCCAGGAGTCTCCTCATCTTCATCATCTTGGGAGACAGAAATCAGAAATACAGAGGATTAGCAAGGCAGAAAAAAACTGGCTGCCCCAGAGTATCTACTGCCAGGGACAGGGGGTGGTGGTCCTCCCAGACTAAACTAAACAAGGCAGTCTCCTTCCCCCCAAACCTACTATCCTTCTCATGTTAGTGTCCGGGACACCCTGATTGATTGGAGGCACAATCTAGGCAGAGATATCATGCTCTTTGGTTAGGGGCACACCTGTGGAGGTGAAACAAGGGTCAACAACACCCTTTAAGGTTTCCCTCCTGTCACTGGGAACTATTTCCCTGCAAACCATTCTACTTTGGACAGTGTGCTGAGCTAGGAACAAGAAGACCAAGGCTTTTCCAGCCTTGCCAACAACCACCTGTGGGACTTTGGACATCTCTCTGGGCATCAATTTCCCCACCATAAAATAACATATTAGACTAGATGATTCTAAGGTTCTCCCCCCCCATAGCCTATGGTCTATGTTCTAAGCTCCCTCTAAGTTCTAATATTCTATATTCTAAGATTCCTAGAAGCTTTAATAGTCTATGTGCTAAGGCTCCTCCAAGTTCTAACATTCTATATTCTAAATTTCCTCCAGCTCTGACATTTTTTATTCTAAGGTCCCTTCCAGCTCTAACATTCTACATTCTAAGGTTCCTCCCAGCTCCGACATTCTACGTTCTAAGGCTCCTTCCAGTTCTGACATTCTATGTTCTAAAGCTCCTTCCAGCTCTGACATTCTATGTTCTAAGGCTCCTTCCAGCTCTGACATTATATGTTCCAAGTTCCCTCCCAGCTCTGACATTCTATGTTCTAAGGCTCCTTCCAGCTCTGACATTCTATGTTCTAAGATCCCTCCCAGCTCTGACATTCTTTGTTCTAAGGCTCCTTCCAGCTCTGACATTCTATGTTCCAAGTTCCCTCCCAGCTCTGACATTTTATGTTCTAAGGCTCCTTCTAGCTCTGACATTCTATGTTCTAAGGCTCCTTCCAGCTCTGACATTCT